AGGCACTTGGATTTTCTGGACAGTCTCCTCTTTGCCAGAGTGAGTGTGTGTAGGAGAGGCCTGAGGCTTAGCCCAGAAGTTCAAAGGAAGTGGCAGACCCTGCACTCTCGCTGTGCGTTCCCCAGATGGGGAATGGGAGCAGCTTGTCTGACAAGGACCTCCGTGCAGAGGTGGATACGTTCATGTTCGAGGGCCACGACACCACAGCCAGCAGCATCTCCTGGATCCTCTATGCTCTGGCCGCACACCCTGCGCACCAGCAGAGGTGTCGGGAGGAGATCCAGAGCCTCCTGGGGGATGGCGCCTCCATCACCTGGTAAGTGCTCAAGAGATGGGAGAGCCTGGCTCACGCAGCTAGAGAAGCACCTGGTCTGCCTGGACCCTGCCTGCACTTCAGGATGGGTTTCGGTTTCAGGGACCACCTGGACCAGATGCCCTACACCACCATGTGCATCAAGGAGGCACTACGACTCTATCTACCAGTACCAAGTGTCAGCAGAGAGCTCAGCAAGCCCATCACCTTCCCTGACGGACGCTCCTTACCCAGAGGTATGAACCTCATCACACTCACTAACCTGAGCACTCTGCAAGAACACAAGGAAGAGCAGAAACCCACGTGTCCCAGAGCAGTTCTGAATCCCTTGGGTCTTGTTTCTTTGTAAATAAATAGATGTAGTTAGGATGACGTGTTTGAAATCTTGGCACAGAACTAGACCCAACAAAAGCTCAATAAATAAATGCTAGTCTTTGAATGTGGGCTCAGGAATTAGCCCTAAAATTCCAATTCCCTGAGATGTGAGGGCTGGAGAGACAATCAGACAGCAGTAGGAGGAGATGTGCTGCTTTCCTTACGGGGTCTAGGAAAATGGGGGAGATGTGGAATCTGCTGTCAAGGATCAGATGGCCCAGTCTCTGAGGACCCCTCAGGTTGATGGTAGAGAGCAGCTGATGACCAGATCTGAGACCCCTGCCATGGCTGGAGGCCACCTCTTAGCTCATCTCCCATTGAGTTTGAATGCCAGCCCTGCCACATCTTAGCTGTGTGATCATAGGCAAGTCACTCAGTCTCTGAGGCTCAGGTGCCTCATCTGAACAATGGTGATATGAGAGCCTTTCTTGGAGGGTTGATGTGAGGATTGAATGAGTTAACGCAATTCCCCAAGGGCTCATGGATGGCACTTGATAAATGTGAGTCGTCACTTGAGTTGCTCCAAAAAGTAAGCCTCCAGTTCTTTTTTGCTTCTCAATCCTGGGTCATGGTCATCTCCTCCTAATCTGTGCACATGAGCTTTGCCATGTCCACCCCACCCACCCAGCAGGATCATTCCACTCAGAGTGAGGGGAAGTGGCTCTCATGGTGGCTTCCAAGACTTTCCTGCATGCACATGCCCCCTGCTGGCAGAGGGAGGGGGCCCCACCCCATGGGTATGATCAGTCTTCTCTCTTCTCCTCCTGCCCCACAGGAATCATAATCGGGCTCTCCTTTTATGCCCTTCACCACAACCCAAA